GACAACAGAATACCACAGCAGAGCACGCTAGCACGGCGGGTTGTACAGGTGTGTCGTTTCTCGTCACATTCAAACAAGCAATGCGGTCAAAGGAAATGGGACTGAATTGTCAAAGGTAAATTAGTCAGGTACCTCACCACAATATCCCCAAATAATTCTCCGTCCTGCGTGCCGGTTATTTGTCAAAGCCCTTCTATGTATCCAGAAAATAATTCATACATGAATTGCCCTTAGTCATCTTAGCCGCAACCTAGTTCAGGCTTCCCACCGCTTAAGACCAATTGCTCTCAGGTACGTTAACCTCCCTCCTTTGACTTCAAACCTAGACCTTGTTTCCCGCCCTTTTATTCTTATAACTGCCTACCCTCACCCACCAGCCTCTACTTTCCTTTTAGTTTCTCTCCTCCTCTCCTTATCTACAAGATCTCCCGCTAGTGTATGCTTATTATATTACTGTAATTCTCTTCGAGTTTCTCATGTTCCCTTAGCCTGGCTCACCTAAATAACTGGAACCAAACAGCCGAAAAAGAGTTTTTCCAGCATGCGAACGCAAGTTTCAAAAATATCATATGCATATGTATATGTATATTGAAGGGTTACAGGCAGAGCCCTTGATGACCCTATTTATGTGCTTTCGCAGATTTATACTCAAAAATAAAATTAAATTGCAGGCATTTAAAATGTGATTGGGTCACAGTTCAATCGTAATCATAAGGTAGTGCATAGGGTCACTGTAAATTAGTGCGGAAGATTGTATATGACAGATTTTACAAAAGTGGCTGTGCATACTCATGCTGTACAAGCCGATTTTTGTCGAAATATAGACGAGCAAGTTTTCTTTTAAACACAAAAACTGTGTCAGCCGTCACCATCTCGCTTGGAAACGAGTTCCACGGCCTGACAACCCGCTGGCTGAATGAAAATTTTCGTCGGTCTAAACGCGTGCGCTCATTCCCGACTTTGTATGCATGGCCGCGTAGTTGGTTTGTACGGGCGAACTCAAAGATGTCCTCTGCTCTTAATGAGCAACCCTGGCCGCGAACAATCCGGAAGGTCCAGAGTAGACTGCAGTTTATTTGTCTATAAGAGAGAGGGAATAGGCCAAGCAAATTCAGCCTCTCCTGATAAGACGAAGACTTCAGACCGTCGACCATCTTTTTCGCTCTTCGTTGCACCTGTTCGAGTAAGTTGATATCCTTCCTCATCCATGGTAAGCCTGCTGGCATTCCATACTCTAGATGAGGTCTTACAAAGACACCAAAGAGTCTTTCGAAAAGTTCGGGAGGAAATATTTTAAATGCACGTCTGATCCAATGTAGAGTACTAGTTGCCCTCTGGACCATCTTTCTACAGTGTTTTGATGGCGATAGATTTGTGGTCGTCCATACACCCAAATCTCTGTCTTTCCACGGTTTCTAACCTCGTCCCGTCAATATAGTACTGGTGTTTGGGATAGGCATTGCGGCCGGTGTTCAGGTGCAAAACCACGCATTTGGACACGTTAAACTTCAAAAGCCATCTGTTCGACCAAGCACACAGTTTGTTGATGTTCGACTGCAACTTCTCTGCGTCATCATCACACTTGACTTCATTCCATATTTTTATGTCATCCGCGAACATGAGAGCCTCGCAATTCACTTCGCTGATGCAGTCATTAACATAAATCAGGAAGAGTACTGGGCCTAAGACAGAACCCTGTGGGACACCACTTTCAACCTTTACCCATTCCGAGGAAGAATTACTAACGACGACTCTTTGTAGTCTGGAGGACAGAAAACTCCTGATCCACTTAAACATTCTCCCTTGAATCCCTACATCCCAGATCTTTTGTAAAAGAAGCCTGTGTGGGACACTGTCAAAGGCTTTCTTGAAGTCAAAAAATATGACATCTACTGGAAAACCCTTATCGGTAGCTCGTGTCCATTTCTCGTGCGAGCAAAGAACACTCGTTAGGCAGGAGCGCCCCGGACGAAAGCCGTGTTGGGCATCGCACAATATTTTGTTCTGTTCCAGGTATTTCATCAAGTGTCTTTTGATAATGCGTTCCATTATTTTACACGCGATTCAAGTAAGACAAACACATTGTGAGGGCCACCTAACGAATACTGAAGCCCCTTTCGTTAGTTGGTTAAAAGAGTCATTGCTTTAAATTGTCCAATCAAACGAAAGAAAAAGCATTAGTCAGCCATGGATATATCGGGCACTTCAAATTGTATTTAAAAGAAATAAAAAGTGGTGTCGTTTTCGACTAACGTGGAATGCCGAACACTCGTAACAATGCAAACGGCAACGAAATGTGTGCCAAATGTGATGCTAACTGACTTCGAAGGAACTATGACCTAAGCATCTCAAGATCCCGTACGGCCACATACATAAAAGCGAAAGGAATCGTAATCTGAATCCAGTGCTGAGGTCCTAAAACCGAGTACTGGAGACGGATGACCAAACGAAAGCACTAGTTCTCCCTAGCCTCTTTCAGTCTGTATTCTTCCATGAAGTAAATGCACCCCCTTTCCCCTACCTAGAACGAAAGCAAAATTCGGCATTGTTTGCATTAGAAGATAATCTTTACTTACCACCAACATCGATAAGGGCAGAACTAATCCTATTGAAGCCTGTCGAATCACCTGATCCAGACAGAATTCATCCACCTGCCCTTCGAGTATCGGCCGATGTACTGCGCAAGCCGGCATCTATAGTATTGTAAAGGTCCATGGAAGAAGTTGAACATCCAGAAGAATGAAAAACTGTCTTCATTTTTCCTATACAAAAGGGAGGGTTCGGGCTGGAATCCGAAATCTACCGCCCTATTCATTTAATCTGCATTGTGTGATAGGTTATGAAACATTGTATAAAGGGTCATTTAATGACGTATCTGGAGCAGAGAAATCTGAAATATGCTGCCTAGTATGGACTTTATCGGAGTACCCATTTCTTACTAATATTACATGTGACGGGATTTCGACAGGCTGTGACCAGTCAGTGGAAAAGGAAATATCCATCGGTGTTACAGCGTCGCATGTAGGAGTTTGAGCCACGGGTATAGGTTGACTGGAGAGACGTGAGTAAGTGGCAGTTCTGACGACCGCGTGGTCACACATCTACAGGTATAAAAAATGGAGTGCACGATAACATTAGGTTGATTGAATGTGCATGACGAAGTTATGCCTTCGGTATTTGTCGTTCACAGCCAATATGTCGATTTCTCCCAAGTTTACTCAGTAGGCAGTTAATGGCAAGCCGCATTGCATACAAAACACGGTGAGGATTGGATATGTAAGCCTATTGATTTAATCGTTACTAGGAGCTCCTCTAATACGGTAGGGCTGTTAAAAGTAGTTTTGCCTGTGGGGCATAGGCACCTAGCAACTAACGGAACCTGCAGAAAGCATTGAAAATTCTCGCATTTCCGTCATAAGTTTGTTTGAATACCCTAAAGGGGCACTGCAACAGACAGCGCAGCTTGAAAGACGGAAATTAGAGTGTGCAAACTGACGGAGAACAGATAATCTATAGTCATTGAACGAGGGAGACCAGACTGGATAAGACGATACGTGGCAGATAAACATAACCCTAGCCCTAATCTTCAACCTTACCTTAATCATAAATGCCTACCTGAATCAAATAGGCAGGTGTGACGATGTGACAAAATTATTAAAACTCCAGACACGCGGCAGCTGTTACTAGTTCACAGCCCGGTTAACGTGTGCCGTGCTCTAATCTTGCCTCATGCTGGTCCAGCGAATCAACTGTGTGGCCTTTTGATGGGGACCACGGCAATATTAGCCCCACCTGATGGACATAATGCTGTTAGGGTTGGGCTTAAGGGCTAGGTTTGGGGGTTATGGTAATGGGTTATAGCTAGGGGTTATGGTTAGGGTTTACGGTGGGGTTTAGGGGTTAGTGCAACTATTTCTCAGCCATTCAAAGTACAGCCGCGCATTTCCAATAGCTTTTATTTTGCATACAACTACTTGACATCGTCGCCTGTGCTTTCGCCGGCCAAACCTGTAAAACCCCTATTACGACCGGTCCCTTATTAGAGGTAACTGAGTTTGTTTACTTCAGGTGAGGCACCATAACCACATCCGACTGTACTAGGTGCTATGACACACCACACGAAGAACTTCAGTTTATTTGTTTTGCCACTGCAATTGTTCACGTCTTAATTTTTCCTGCCCTGCTTCTCCTCCCGACGGTGAAGCGAAAATTAACATAGGCGAACAAAGAACTCCCTCAGACACAATGAGCTCCGCCATTGCCGGGAATAAACTGCACTTTTCAGAATAGAAGTCCTCCTCATGGTCAGCAAGTGGAATATCCGCGCCTGAGTCCACTATTTATATATCAATTTCATAGTTGATAGCGGCAGTCTCAGTAGGGGGTCTTGTGACAACTTTTGTCCCTCTGAACCTCAGTCATCTAATCAAGCGTCCTCATTAAATTGGCTATTCATATCTATCTCTCTCCGATGCTGCACTCCACTATCAAAAATGTTTCTCATTTACCAAAAGGCTTTCACGCTATGTATTGCAGCCACTACTTG